TAATTCTAATTATTTATATTTAAATAAAAAAAAGGATTATAAATTTCAGCTATCTCATTTTATAGAGTAGAACTATAACTCTAACCCCAAATAGTATTCCAATAATTATTACAATTTTGGGTAGTAGATGGAAGAGGTAGGATCCCCGGTTGGTTGAGTGGGAGTAGCAAGGTGGAGGTAGACTTAAAAAGACTTGGTTAGAAAGTATTAGAAATGACATTTCTTTATTAGATTTAAACAATTGCTAGGAATTTCCACAGTATAAACAATTGCCCACAGTATAATTAAATACATTTTGTAAAGGTGTTAATGTTAAAGAATGTTGAACCAAATACAAAGATCGATAAATAGTAAGTCAAAAATTGTTCTTAGGGCGCTGCCTCCAAAAACCCACTTGGGGCACTGCCCCCTTGGACTTCGAACATATCTGCCAACAGTTACTTATAAGTTCCCCCCTAAAAGTTTTAAAATACTATGATTTTAAACAATAATTTGAGATAAAGTACTCCCATGGATCTTGCCCTCATTTTGTGATGACTTTATAATCTAGTTCTAAGTTTCTTATAGACACAAGTGCCCATGGTTAATTATCCCTACCAATAACGAGAGAAAACTTTCCCTTAAGGTTAGTCATTAGACACGTACAAAATTCCTAGCAAGGTGGAGGTAGACTTAAAAAGACTTGGTTAGAAAGTATTAGAAATGACATTTCTTTATTAGATTTAAACAATTGCTAGGAATTTCCACAGTATAAACAATTGCCCACAGTATAATTAAATACATTTTGTAAAGGTGTTAATGTTAAAGAATGTTGAACCAAATACAAAAATCGATAAATAGTAAGTCAAAAATTGTTCTTAGGGCACTGCCTCCAAAAACCCACTTGGGGCACTGCCCCCTTGGACTCCGAACATATCTGCCAACAGTTACTTATAAGTTCCCCTCTAAAAGTTTTAAAATACTATGGTTTTAAACAATAATTTGAGATAAAGTACTCCCATGGATCTTGCCCTCATTTTGTGATGACTTTATAATCTAGTTCTAAGTTTCTTATAGACACAAGTACCCATGGTTAATTATCCCTACCAATAACGAGAGAAAACTTTCCCTTAAGGTTAGTCATTAGACACGTACAAAATTCCTAGCAAGGTGGAGGTAGACTTAAAAAGACTTGGTTAGAAAGTATTAGAAATGACATTTCTTTATTAGATTTAATTAAGAATCTGACTTAATCGGATACAATGGAGAAAAAGGATTCATGTGGCCAATCCCACATAGTGGGATAAATACTTTATATTATTGTTGTCATAGGCGGATCCACATTGGCGCCCACCCTCAATTTTTTTTTTAATATTTAGAGGTAATTTTTTAGAATATTTTGGGTATTTTGCGCATTTTGCCCCCCTAAAAAATTTTTTTTATCCTAATTTTATCAATCATAAGCATCTTTGCCCATCCCAATTTTTTTTTTCCCACCCTAAAAAAAGGAGCTGGATCCGCCCCTGAGATTTGTTGTTGTTGTGTTGTATTATTATTTTTCTTTTCTAGCCGCTACGATTTGTCACCAAATTTAAGGATTCCCCTTTGGCTTTAATCATGACTAGAAAGAGTACTTTCTCAAGCAGTTTTTTTTCCTTTTGACACTTCATGCTCTTGCATGTTTTAATCAACATTCTACATTGTGCAGCTTGAAAATGTCGAGTCGAGTCGAATATCTGTCTTATCAAACCTGACTCATTTAACCCTTAATTAGCTCAAGCTCGAGCTTGAGTTCGAGCTTGTTGAGTGGGCTCGAGATCGACTTGTTTAAGAAATATCAAGCTTGAGCTCAACTCGAAAGCTCGAGCTCAAGATCAAGCTCGTTTGAAAAGCTCGAACTCAACTTGTTTAATTGGCTTGATGGTTTACTTGTAGTCTGGTATACCCAAATTTCTTTTATATATATATATAATTTTTCCTAACACTTAATAAAAATTTATTTTCAATTATGAAAAATAACTTAAGTAGTCATAAAATATATACAAATTTACCTTTTTATTTCTTTAAAAAAAAATTGAAGTTGTAGAAAATCAATATATTCTGGGCGCAATCAACTTCCTTTAAAAAAATTAAAAAAAGTATCAAGTGCAATTTTTATGCAGTTAAGTACTATAAAAACTTGATCAATATAAAAATAAAGCATTCATATCAATATTAAACCAAATTGCATATCATCACATCATTACAAAAAAAGAAATTACAATTATACAACCCCTTAAGAAGTTTTATGATAAAGCATATCGTAATTTCCATTTATTCTTCTATTAATGTTTTACTTATAAATCAGTCAATGGAAATTTTTTGTTTCAATTTTTATACAGCTTTGGCATAATTTTGTTAGTATGGATTTTTTTGCAAACAAATCATCATTTAGCCCATGATGTGATTAAAAAACCATCCATATGGAATTTTAGCTAAAAAAATTGGATTATATTTGTGTTTAGAATCACATAAAAAATTCTCCAAAGTTTGTGACACGTATTTTCCGACTCCTGGAGCTTCGACATATGAAAATAGGGGGTAACTGATATATCATAAAAAAATTTATCTTGATCGGGCACGATTCTCGAGGCAAAATTAGACTGAAAGCTTCAAAAATTAAATATAGGATCATCTAAACTCCGATTCCAACAAACTTATAATCGAGTTGAGCGTCTCGGAAATACAAACCCAACGACACTAAATTCAACTCGATCTGAGCCCAAATGTGTCTGAATTGAAACTGAAGCGTTGTTGGAAGATTCAAACCACAATTTGGATTACCAAACGGTTTCCAAACATGATATGTTTATAGTCGAATCGAGCGGCTAAACGAGACAAATTCAATGAGCATAATATCACTAAATTCTGATATCATTAAGACATTCAAATGTCTCGTAAACAATCCATGATCAAGGGATTCAATATCGGCCATCCATCCGAACCACTCCACATTTGCCCTTGATCCTCCTCCTATTTACGGGTCATGCCATCCTAAAAAAATTATAAATAGACCCTCTTTTCTCTTGAGAGGGGACCTAAGCAAGAAGAGAAGAGAAGAAGAAGAAGAAGAAGAAAAGAAGAGAAGGAGGGAAGAAGCTCCTTCTCGCTTACCGTCATAATTCTGTCCGACTTCCAAGTGACTCCAGAGTTCCGCTTATTTTCCAACTGACGCCAGAGTTCCACCCGATTTCCAAGTGACGCCGAATTTTTCCCGACTTCCAAGTGAAGCCGTAGTTCTGCCTGACTTTCAAGTGACGACAAAGTTCCGCCTAACTTTCAAGTGTCGTCGAAACTCCGCCCGATCTCCAAGTGACGTCGAAGTTCCACATGACTTCCAAGTGACGCCGAAATTCTGCCAGGCTTTCAAGTGGCGCCGGAGTTCCGTCCGACTTTCAAGTGACGTCGAAACTCCGCCCGATCTCCAAGTGACGCCGGAATTCTGTCAGATCTCCAAATGAGTTTGAGATTCAGCCCGGATACCCAACATCGTCGAATCTCAAATTCTTTTTTGTAACTGAATTTCAATTTGGGAGTGTATTATTGTAATCTGACCATCCTAAATTTTAATTATATATGAGTCAATCTCTTGTACCTCAAGCAAATACTAGTATAATTCTTTCAACTGGGTGTGACCCCGTGGTTTTTCCCTTTACATGGTTTTCCACGTTAAAATTCTGGTGTTCTTTCATCTTCTGTTTGTGTGCTGGACATCCGTACAACGCTGAGACGAAAACTTTCTAACTCTATCGTCACATATATTCTAGCTCGCATCAATAACTTTTTTTTTGTGTGGATAGAGCTAGAAAGTTTTTTTAAATGATTCAAGATCTTAAATAAAGAAAGCTTTATACCACTCCCACATTTTTTCTGTCGTAGAGATATAGGCCGAGAGAGAGGATATATTACTATGTGCGGAAACCGGACGTCATTCACAGGCCAATTATAATGCGTCACATCATTTTTTGCTTGGTACCGGTGCTAGTTACCGCTGTGTATCGGGTGACGTAATCTTTTTCTACAAAATAAAAAAAAAGGGGGTCTTAAATTTTAATTTTTTAAACTACCAATTCACCCTCCCTCTTGGTAGCCTTGGGACAATCACTTAGGCTTAACAACCTAATTAATAGACTCAACAAAGCCGACTGGCGAGCCGGCTCAGGTTCGACTCATCAACGGGCTGGACGAGTCGAGCTTATCAAACTCGCGAGTTGAGCTTGAACAGGATTTCGAGCTAGACAGGCTTATAAGCTCAAGTTCGAACATCCCTCCACAACTCCACTCGACTCGAGTACTAGTCGAGCGGCTCGTAGACCTTGGACGCGGAGGTGGAACAACGAAACTCGTACTCGACGCAGGATGCGTGATCAGAGGTCGAACTCTAAGCAGGACGTGGGATCGGAGGTTGAACTCGACGGCAGAACGAAACTTCGGGTGGATGGAAGGCCGAATGCGGGTGGGAAAACGAATCCCGTGGATGGAAGGTCGAATGCGTATGCGATCGGAGCTCGAACTCGATGAGCAGCTCAACGAGCTATTTTTCTTGGCGAGTCAAGCTTGAGCTCGACTTTTGCGCTTAACTTGAGTTCAAGCTTAGTATTTGATTGTTGAACCAAGCTCGAACACCCTCTGACTCGAGCTCGACTCTACTCGTTTGCACTCCTAACCTTACCCCAGGGCACCTATGCTAAATCCACCCCTGACCACATATATATAGGCCAAGACTACAATCCTCAAATCATCTTAAAATGGCATAATGAATTGTAACATTGGCTCGATTACATTTTACCCTTATAGATCATCATAGTTAATTGTTCATTGTGCAATTAATATGGTAATTAGAGAGGTTTCAAATCAATGGACGGTAGGTCATGTAGGCTGGCTTACAGCCCAAGCGTCTTCCTAATTCTCGCGGCCGGCTGGCCGGCAAAAAACTGTCCGTCAGATCGAAAATTTATCTTTAAAATTAGAATTAATCTATTATGAATCAAACGGTTCATAGCATTGATGCACTTTAACTAACACAGACCGGCGGCACAAAGTAACATCCATTCCAGTTTTCTAACTGTTCCGGCCCGCTCCGCCTACCACTCTTTTACGAAAACACTCCCTCTCTCTCACTCTATGCTTTTAGGAGGCGAGTCGTCGGCGCCGGCGATGCAGGCTCCGGGCGGCGGCGGAACTCCGAGGGCGGAGGATATTCTCGATTGGCTTCAGAAGGAGATGGGCTACCCGGGTCAGCTTCCCTCCGCCGATCAGATCCGTAAGATCTGCCGGGGAAATATGGTTACCGTCTGGAACTTCCTCCTACAGAGAGTGCGGTCGGAGAGAACCACCGGAACTGTTCGCCGAAATATTCTGGTCCATGGGTTGGTGAAGCCGGAGGATGGTGGGAGGGCGAGGAGGAGGGAGAAGGAGAAGGGAAAGGTCGGTTTCGAGGAGGGATCATCAGTTGAGGGAAGGGAGATTGCCATTCGGGAAAGGGATCAGGCGGAGGAGGAGGCGGAGAGGTTGAGGAGCGTGGTGAGGAGGCAGAGGAGGGAACTGAAGTCGCGGATGGTGGATGTTGCGAGGGAGGAGTCGGAGCGGAAGAGAATGCTCGATGAGAGGTCCAGTGCTAGGTGAGCGCAATGCTACTCTTGATGATAAATTGAAGTATATAAATTCTTTCCATTCATTTTTTTTAATCTTCAGAAACATCAAACTTTTTCTATTCGTGTTGCTGGAGATTTGTGTCGCTATATGAAAACATGAGTTTCCTACTTTAAGGCTTGCGAACTGGGAATTCATGCTGGCATTTTCCTGGATAATGTGAAGCTATACATGAATAGGTGAATCTGTGAATTTAATATGTCTGTACTAATTATTTTCAAATGGAGCACTTTGTTAAGTTGTGGAGCTTAATTTGTTCCCTATGTAGACAACATGCTATGAAGACTTAGTTGTGGTTGACCTTAGTTTTTCTATCCAAAGGGGATGGAGGCATTTTGTGCTGTAAAAATAAGAATTAGGCTTGTAATTTTCTACAGTTAAAATTCAAACCATAGTGAAATTGCGACCATTAATTGGGTGGACCTGTGTAAAATTCATGTGTGTTTTAATGCGCTGATCTCATTTTCTGCTATTTTTCACCCTCATAGGTTTCACGTATTTCACAACACACTAATCTATTTTTAATATTGTTGTATTTGATTGATACAGCTTTTATTTTATTTTTTAAACAAATAAGGCACAAGCAGGTGATGTTAGAAGCCTATGATCAACAGTGTGATGAGGCTGCTAAGATATTTGCAGAGTACCAAAAACGGCTTCATCAGTATGTTAGTCAGGCAAGGGATGTTAAGAGGTTGAATACAGGCAGTACTGCTGATGTTGTTGATGAGATCCATTTACATGGTGAGAAAGAAGCTGTTTACTCAACTGTAAAGGGTAGCAAGTCATCAGATGATATCATTCTCATAGAGACATCACAAGAAAGAAACATTAGATTGGCCTGCGAGTCTCTTTCCAAGCTTACGATTGAGAAAATCCAAAGTACTTTTCCTGCATATGAAGGGACTGGAATTAATCCTAGTTCACAGGTTGATGCTTCCAAGTTCATCATTGAACTAGAAGGTGAAGTTCCTGATGATGTTAAGGCTATAATTCTTGATTCGCTGATAAATCCTTCATTGTTGCTTCAGTCAATCACTACATATGCAATGCGGTTTAATTCGCTGATCCATAGGGAGACTGAAAAGATTGATATCCGTGCTGATTCGGAACTTTTAAGGTACTTATTTATTGACATGCCATTGGTTTTTTATTGTTATTTTTCCATCCATGATGCTGAGCTACTTACAGTAATTGTTATTATCTACTGCTGGTGATAAATTGTTAATTTAAATACTACTTATAGAGTTTCTTTGCTTTATACTGATAAGAACATATGCCAGTACCATCTCTTCTTGCAAACCCGGATATCATATGCAAGGGCCTTTGCATTTTGATAATTTGGTACATTTGAACCTTAAACAAAAGACTAATACTGTCACACCCCAGTTTGGCTTACCCCTTAACGGTCAATCTAGAGTATAACAGAGAAGGAAAATTTAAATCAGTTCCTTCATACTAACACTCATTCTGAGCCACTACTTTCAGAATGGAGTGAGTAAAATAAATCTATTTAGATTCTCCTAACTTGCCAACCTATCTAATTCCATAATTAATAATGGGAAGCATATAATGTCTATTAATGAACATCAAATATAATTGAAGTAAATGCAAAGCTCTATTAAAATTTTTAATATTCATTCACATACCCAAAAGGCTGTACATCTAACATTCAGATCTTATTTTAGATCTCTTTGCACACCCAAAACGTATATACATCAAAAGAATGGTCACATCTTTTTATTATCCCAAAGGCTCATTCCCCTTTCTTGCAGTACAACCACTGCTAATGAGCTAGGCCCAATGAAATACACAAGCAATTTATAAGAAATAATAATAAACAATTAAAAAAATACCTAACGATGCTAACATAGTTAAAGCACATATTGAAATATCATATTGAGCCTGAAAGCGCCTAGTAGTATTATATATCTTGCCAAAACTGTTCCACATATTTAAATAAGTTTTTGCACCATTTCAACTTTCTAATTCAAGGTTGAGTCTAACTTCACAATTTTTAGAATGAAAGTTGTTCTCTCATTCAGGGTTGAGTCAAATTTCTCAACTTTTAGAATTGAGAGTATATGCTTACGTCGTCGGGTCTTTCGCCTTTACTTATGTGGGCCTATCCCCTATATATAACTTATTTCACTTTCTATATAGTCATCTTTTTTAGCCCTAATGACATATGCTTTTGATGACATAGTTGCGCTTAAGCTGGCATTTTGTTGCCCTTTAGCTGCCCTTTAGGTGTCCTTTAGCTGCCCTTTTGTTGTGCTTTAGTTGCACTTTAGCTGCGTTTTAGTTGCACTTTAGCTGCGCTTTAGTTGCACTTTTTGCTTATTCACTAGTTTATGAATATTTATCATTTTATGCTTACAAAATCATTAATACTGCTAAAGATTATCCTTTACATAAACAATTTCATACATATACGACCATATTCATACAAAATAACTAAAATAAACTAGAATACATGTAGTCATAAACATAATCAAGATGAAGTGCAATAATAAAACATTTACTAATTCTTATAACCTTGTTTGGATTTCTCACCTCACTAGGAATTTGTTCTCCTAGACTTTGTCTTCCTTTTCTCTTGTATACAAGCTCAATTGTACTCTTTCTCATTCCATTAAATCCTTATCTTGATGACTTAAGCAAAAATTGCACTTCAAACAGTATAACACTAATTTAGCAAGCAATTCAGCATTTAATCGGACTTCCAGAATTTCAACCGTAATGGTAACCATTTTTAATTTCTTTTTTTTTTTCTTAATTGTGTTCTCTGAAATTTACCTTAACAGCAGCTTACAACAACCACCCCCCAAGTAGCAACTCCCGCTCCTTAACTTGCGGTTTGAAAACTTCTGATGTTCAATGTCCAGAGAGGGACGGGTGGGGAAAAGAAAACACTAATGCCTCAATAGAACAAACTTATCATACTATTATTATTATTATATTTACATTCCTAACTCCAATAACCCTTCCATTCATTTTCAGCCATACGATCCCATTAGCTTTATGCATGTTGATTTAAGTGGAATTACTCGTAAGTCCACTAACTCTTCCATTCATTCCCAGTCATAGGATCCCATCAGCTTTATGCATGTTGATTTAAGTGGAATTACTCATAACTCCACTAACTCTTCCATTCATTCCCAACCATAGGATCCCATCAGCTTCATGCATGCTGATTTAAGTGGAATTGCTACAATACCGTAAGTAATAAAGATCTATATATTAAAGTTATGCTAATTAGATACTTTAACTAATACTCAATATTTAAGTTAACTGCTAATTAAATTATACTTAACAACTATACAATTAATTAAATAGTTAGAGTAAGAATTTTACTTCTATATGCCAATATGTTCAAATTTAAAAGAGGACTTTTATACTTACATTCATTTCGGACATTTTGGGTATTATAAATATTCCGTTTGGGAGCAGATTGTGGGCGTTCTGATATGGGTTGCATGTGCCCTGTACATTAAATGCTTGGGAGGGTGGCCTTGCCGCCGTCTTGGCCTTGAACATTAAATGCTTGGGAGGGTGGCCTTACTGCGTTTCTGCGCACAAAATTAATGGTTTGAGCCGTACTTGTGCTTGTAAGCTGGTATTCTAAGTGCACAACTACGGTGTATGATTATGAACAATACACTTTTGGAACCGTTTGTTCATCTATGTGAAAGTAGCTATGATCTTATTTCATTCCAAACAAAACCACAACCATTCTTGAATATTGCCTCTCTATTACTTTTGCCATATTTAGGCTAGTTTACTGATGTGCTATGCGCGTTTAATGATTATGCTTTGCATGAAATAAACATTATGTTGATCATGGTTTGACTCATGTTAGCTGATGGAACTATTTCAGTTATTGAGAGCTTACATGATTAGTTTTAAAGGTATAATTATATATTTCTAGAGGCATTCGTTAAAGACAAATTCATGTAAAAGTACAGGTTTAACTAGTAAGGCAAGTGTGAGTATATAAAGCACTACTGAGATATTGGGATCCAGCCAATGCAGATGATTTTTCCTTAAAAATAGTAAATTGTTGATGTAGATCTGATAGAAGATACATCTGTTATCATGAATGAGCAGTCAAAAGATGCAGGGGCTGAACTTCCAGGTCTTGTGGTGAGGATGAATGATGTTCTTTTATGGGTTTGAATATGTCTTTTTGTTTTAATGTTACATGAGAAGAAATATGCTATAAAGTAAAACTTTTTGAAAACTCTAGAAATATAAAATTAAAGAGTTTAAATGATAAAATAGGACTATAGACTTATTAGGTGTGTTTATTTTAGTCCCAAACTTGTAAGATGTTCAATTTAGGCTTCCTTTGGGACAACTTTTTAACACTATTTTTTTGCTCTTTTAAGAAATTTTTGTATTTGAAAGCTACTTTAGAAAGCAATAAGAAGCTATCCCAAATGAAGCCTTAGTCTCTCAGCTTGTCATATTTGAACCAATTTAGGCATTCAATCAACTTTTTTGTTTTTTTTGGAATAATTTGGGAATAAATTGGTGAAGGGAAGCTTTCTATTATGGAAATTTTAATTCCTTTCAACCTTGTTTTGAACTTTATAACTGAACATTCTAGAGAAAAAAAAATACTGTCTTGCTTATTGAGTTAGTATATTGATAATTCTATGGGGACTGTGACAGTTAAATTTTGTCCCCTGTACTTACTGTTAGTGTTATTCTTATTATTTAGCTATTTCATATGCCTGGTTTGGTAGGTTAGTCTTTTAAGGACTATTAGTGATCACCATCGTAGTCTGTTTTATAGTTTCCATCTGTTAATTGTGCTTTTGAGTAACATCCTTATATGTAATATCTGTTGAGAATTGCAGTTTTTTATGAATTTTTGCTGTTTTTTTTCTTCAATATCCACTAAAAGTTAAATGATTTGTTGAACTGCTAGGTTAACAGGACTTTTGCCTTGTCCAATTAGGTATAAATATGAGAATGATCGAGTAACAGATGCAGCAGCTTCAGATGCAAGCTCACCATTTCCATATCAAGTTTATGGTAGTCCAAGGAGTGGAAGAGATGTATCAATAAAGGGAACTTATAATCAACTTCTTGAACGACAAGTATGCCTGCTTAGACTTCTCATTCCCCTAAAAAAATACTTAAATCTTGTTAATTATGTTGATTGACATCTGTTGCTTTATTGCTTTCATCCTTTTGGAACCTTTGAAAAAAAAAGGTCTATTTTTTCCTACAATATAGGCTCATATGATGCTTGTATTTTTCTATGAATTATATCCTACAAAATTGTCAAAAAGAAAAGATAATATCTCTGACTTTTGTGTTCAAGGTGGGCAGTTGAATCATGAACCTGCATTTGACCTTGATTGCCTGTTAAGTTAGTGGCAGTGTGGACACCCATAACTATGGATAGCTTTATCTTTGGCTATAAATCTTTGGTTGCCTCTTCTAAATAAGTTTAAGCCTGTGTAGTTGCTTGCACCAATTTGTCCCATTTCAGGTGGTGCATTTTGCACAACCATGATTGAGAGAATGATAGAGGATTTTCAAGATGATGCAATAGTATTGATCACTTCTCTTGTAGTCCTTGGTGAACGAGTAATGGACCTGCATTTGACTGCCTTGACAATTGTCATGGGCGATGTGGATTCATTCAACTTGTGGGTACTCGGGCTTCTGTCTATAAAACTTTGGTTAAGCTTTATTAGTTCGAGCTTTTTGAGTAAGTGCTTGTATGCTTGCACCCAATTGTCCTATATCAAATATTTATTCATTACGATGGTCATTCAATTTGTTGATTTCTAATTTACTGCATTTCAAGGCTATAAAAAACTTTGTTTCCCTATAGAGTGTGAGCATCGTGATATATAGTTTCTGGGGATTTTCCTTCATGCACACATTATCTTCTCAAATTGAGGAGTTAGACTTGTGTTGCTTGGAATTCTTTGAAGGCATGCATGTGCTATGGATCTTTGTGTGGAATCATGGATTTAATGCTAAAGATGGAAATCAAGATCTCACTAATTCATGACAAGGATATCATGATCTCATAGATTCATGAAAAAGAAGAAAATTAAGATCCTATGTATTCATGCGAAGCAAGGAAACCCATAATATTTTAACATATTTATTTATTTTTATAATTATAAATTTTATTCCTAGATCAATCTATATATTGCCATATATTAAAGAATTTATGAAATATGAGTGGATTATTTCCTCTCATTATATTCTCCTAATGGTATTAGAGTCATAGGTTCTTGATTTTTTTATGCTTTATTCTTGAAATAAAAATTAAAAAGACCTAATAATCTTCAAAATATTTTGATTAAAAGTTATGTATTCTGCACATGAGGTATCCCTATCATGTAAAGGTTTAGCGAGGGTTTGCTGTATGTAGCCATATCCCTTTATTATTGATGATTTGTTTCTCTGTTGAACTCATGAGCTTAGATCATAATAGAGGCAACCTCTCCATCACTTTGAAACCATGAACAAAAATTTGTTTGATCGGGAGCTTTAATTTTGTACCAAATGTTTTTACCATGATGTGGTGCCATCTTTTGCCATGTTTGCTACTCGAAAAAATAACAGCTAGTAGCATTGATTGCTGTTAAGGATTTGAACCTGGTTACGTTGAAGCCCACAATTTTTTCTACTTAACCAGCTTAACGAATTTTGTTTCTTTTATATTATAGCTCGGATTTGCTACTTAAATTTGCATGTGTTCTCCATGTTTATACTTCTTGACCAAGTATGACCCTTTTGTTAATATAGACTTCATTTGTGTGAATTATAAAAAAGAAAGTATCATCATGCAAAGTAAACAAAACCATTATTTTCCTCACTCATGCTTTAAAATTTCCAGCATTTGTTGAAACATGTGCATTTTCTGAAGTTTTCCACCTCTTGCCTCAACTAAATGGTTTTTTGCAGTGAACTTCTTGTAAAGTTGTCAAGATTCTACATTTATTTATCCCATCGACTAATGCATATCTATGACTATTAGGCGCTTGTTGAGTGAATTTCTATAACATGCCCTACTTCTACAACTAGCGTTGGACATAGCTGTACAACTTAGAGCATGACAGAAAATTATTTCAAAATAGAGATTCTGAGGGAGAAGCTCTTACATAGCAATATTTTACCCACGGATTTACCATTTTTCACTATAGGCAATCTTTTACTAACTTCCTCACATATCATTTTTTTGCTTGCAGAAAGCCCATGTCCAGCAGTTTGTGGCGACTGAAGATGCACTAAACAAGGCAGCGGAGGCCAAAAGCTTAACTCAAAAGCTTATAAAACGTATGCATGGAAATAGTGATTTAGCTCCCTCACAAACTGCACCTGCTGGAGGAACCTCTCAGAGTCTAGGCAATGTCAGACACTTTGAGGTTATATGAATGAAAACATCTCATAACGGTTCATGAAAAAAAAGTAGAAAAAGAAACTCCTTAAAATAGGTTTTACATATATAAAAAGTTTTTTATTGCACTCATAGTTTGGTACTTTTTGAGATGTATGTTTGCGAGGAATATCATTTGTTTCTATTTCTGATCTGATGCTCAGAGCTGCCATTCTTTAAATGTCCCCACTGCTGCAGTTTTCCAATCAAGAGAATTATACTTGTATCCTTCCTAAAGCCTGATTCATTTACATAATCTGTTTTTTTGTTCTCTGTTTCTCCCTCTTCCTTCATGGTGGCTATTGTAATTTATTTTAAATTTCTAGAGCTGAATCACTAGGTTCTGATTGAATTTGACTTGGTCCTTTTGTTGAAGCAGTTTGGAACCAGAAATTCTTATTCGTTTTATAGAATGGGATTCAGTATGATTTTTTTTGCTGAAAACGTAGAAATAGTTTGACCAGAAACACCACCCACAATCAACCGAAAAGAAACTAGCTAGCCATAGGGAAATAAGCAAAATATCTAGTAGAACCACTACATATTTTGGATCAACCACACCGAACAGAAAACCAAATATTAGGACATATAAGTAAGCTATAACCAATACTCAAGTGTCTCTAGAAAACATAATATAATGAAATAATCTTTTAGACGGCAATATCAAAAACCACAAATAGAATTCTCAGGAACAATTAGTTCATCAACCTATATGCTAATTAACTATTCCGCGAAGTCCAAATATCACGACTGCCCAACTCTAGCCAAGATAAAAATACAACAACCCATCATATTCATCCAAAGTAAATATAAAATGCAAAACATATATAAAGAAGATCAGAATGCACACAACAACAACCCACTATAAGAAACAATTAAGGAAGAACAAAGCTGATGCAAAAGCTAGCATATATTTATGTCACAATGCCCAACAAACTAAATAAGTGAAGATAACGAAATACGCATTTCAAAATCAACGATGTAAGAACACATTATAAGATAACAAAATATTAAAAACCATCATTTGAAATAAATGAATCATGCCAAAAACATTAGGAAAAGCACCAATCGAAGCCATTTAATGCTACCATCAAATGAATAGTTTGACCTAAAAAACTACCCACAATTAACTAAAATAAAACTAGCTATCTACTGAGTAATGAGCAAAGTATCTAATAATATCAATATAGATGACAAGGAAAAGTGTAAAACAACAACACGGGAAGATAATAAAAAGAAAACTATCTCAACAAGATGGAAAAAATCAAGCTTTCATATAAGAGTAATGCAACTTGCCAAACTTCAATATACCTCTTAAAATGCCTATGGGATAATAGCCCTGAAAAATTATGATATATTTACATTTAAATCCAAGATTAACAGAAAAGAATCAGCTTGATTAACTTCATATTAGTTATGCATAATTTTATAATTGCATTTTGTGACCAAGTTGCAAGGATTTCTATGAGAAATATATTGAATAATGATGTTCACATCCTCTTTTATAAGATTGTTGGCAATAATATTTGAAATACAATACTTAAAGCCTAAACAAAAAACCCATAAATTTCACTTTAGTGGAAGAAATATTGATCAACAATTTATAAAATCAGAAAATGACATCCCTTTTAACATCTTCAAGCATGCTCCCACTAACACTCACCTTTGACGAACCTTTGGAACATTCATCAATCCCAAGCTTGAAGTAACGCCAGGGAATTGTACCATGTGGTCACCATCATATTATGCTTCCTCTTACTATTTAAGGAAAAACAATGTGATTAGCCAAGTTCTTGACACCCTTGAAACAATCAGAGGTTGTTAGCTTCAGATCAATCAAGAGATTCATCTCAAGTTAATAATATATATTCAATCCACTTTGATACTATTGTATGTAGTCATATTTCTAGACTTCCAAATAAAACAACATATGAGGTCGGAAGAGTATTCAAAATATGAACCTTTGGAGAATTTGAGGAAAATGGATCCTTCTAGCTTTTGGCTAACCCTATCCATTGTGATGAATCCATTGAAGATTCTTCATATGAAAATGGACAGGTATATAGGGATAGCTTTATTCCAAATGGAACTTAATAGATTAGTTGTTTGATAATTTTTAATTTGTCTTTAAAAGAGTGACTATTCATTCATTTGTTTACAAAAAATAATGTCATTGTATTTACAATTAAGGTATATGAAAGTGATATTATTGACCCCATCAAGAATGAGATACCTTAAAAGTAAAGGTTTATTTTATTCTGCATTGTTAAAGAAACGACATATCTTAAGATTATGATTTCAAACCAAATGCATATCACCAAGCCTAAAAGGACCAAACCTACCTATCATACCAAACAAAATATTTTCTTTTCCTAGCTCTCAATAATTGCAATTCTTAGTTTCATCTTTAATACTGTTTAGCTACTCTAAATTGACTTAAATATTCTCCTTCCATACCATCCTCAAATTCTTTGGGGAATAATATTTAGCATGGAGAAACTTAGACAAAATAGAATTATTTAGTCTAAATTTCCACAACTTAAGAAGCATGACTTTGATCACATCAAAAATAGATTTGATGTTGAAGCTACCTTCAGAAATAGGGCAACATGTCTTAATTCGAATTGGTCCAAATCTGATAGGAAACACTTGGATTTCCAAGTGTTTCTCACCAAAATCAGTAAAATTTCAGCAGTAAACTGCTGTCCACAGCAGCCAAACAGCAGGAAATAGGGAAAACGTAGAGAAAAAAACACAAGTAGAAGCTTGTATTTCACTAGAAAATCAAGGAAAACAGCAAAGATACAATTGATCCTCAATTCGAGAGGAGGATCGATCTCTCCCAAATCTCTAGACGCCGCTAGAGCCCAAAGAAATCCTAGTTCTACGAGATCTCAAATTTCAGCCAAATTCAAGATGCCCAAACCCTAGGAAAAAACATCTATTTAATGCATACAAATCAAAAGGAATTCCCTAAACAGTCCCTACATTCAAATTTCTCTTTGAAACCCCCCAAAAATCCTTCCTAAAACGCTCTGTTTGATGCGGTCGGCCGCTCGTTCTCCGCCAGGATTCCGCCTTGTTCCGCGATTTTGCCCGTGAGCCGGTCCCGCCTGGACCGGCTGGACCGGTCCAGTGGACCGGTCTAACAAAATCTTACTATAATGGTCCTTAGTAGTTCAAAGGAATTTATGAAATTAAATATTTAATTTGTTGATGACTTCCAGTGGAGGGATTTAAAGCTTTTGGTGAAGATAAAGAGTGATAGTCGACGACAAACCTATGCCGCCGCCCAACATTGAATGGAGCAAAATCATATTGCCAATGAAGGGGGTAGGACATATTCCAAAACTCTAGCTGAGCTTCATGAGAAATAATATTTTATTTCTCATGAAGCCCTACCAAGGTTTCTCATACAAGTATATATATAGTTTGAATACATTAGTTTCAATTTTCAAGTTTTTGTCGGCTAAGCTTGAGCGAGTTTTGAGATTCAAATAGAATTATCAACCTTAATTGTTTTATATTTTATTACAGCTCTTAGATGTTGTGCATATTTTAACATATCAAAGTTTGTTCGATTATTTGTATAAAGCTCCATCTAGATTATTGTTTCTGTGAAAGGAATGATAATTTAAGAACTTTGCAAACAAGAATAATAGCTTACATCTTTTGCTAACAAGAAGAACCAACCTGGCATGCATGCCAATGTTTCTTGACACCTTGACATATATAAGTGGGTTTCTTGAAAACTCTTTTATCACTACTAAAGTTTGTAAGTGGGTTTCTTGAAAACTCTTATATCACTACTAAAGTTTGTCATGAAGTCCTAATATATCACTACTAAAGTTTGTCATGAAGTCCTAATATATCACTACTAAAGTTTGTAAGTGGGTTTCTTGAAAACTCATATATAAGTGGGTTTCTTGAAAACTCTTATATCACTACTAAAGTTTGTCATGAAGTCCTACTATATCAGTTGACATTACATCAGTAGTAATACTACGTTTGAATAACAAACTTTAGTAGTAATGCCAAGATTTCAAGGAAACAAGGCATATCTCCAAAGTTTCAGAAAATCCTGGTATGTATGCCATGAGTTGTTTTTATTCGCAAAATAGGGTAAACTATTGTCATTGTTTGCAAAGTTTTAAAATTGTGTTTTAATGTTATCGAATTATTGCACTAAATTTTATATTCTTTTGTAGATGGATGTTTGGGCTAAGGAACGAGATGTTGCTGGACTTAGAGCAAGCGTTAATACATTGACATCTGAGGTGCAGCGCTTGAATAATACATGTGCAGAGTGGAAAGAGGCCGAGGATTCTTTGAGGAGAAAATGGAAGAAAATTGAAGAATTTGACTCTCGCAGATCAGAACTTGAGTCCATTTATACATCACTACTTCAGGCTAACATTGTTAAGTATCTTGCAATTGTTCCTCTCTCATTCGCTTGATTTGCATGGTTACAATTTACTTAATGCACTTTCTCAATGCAATTTTCTGTGTCCTAAGAACAATTATTGTTGAATATAAGGTCTTTAGACTTCTTTATTTGTTATTTTGTCTGGATTGTTGATTGTTTTATTTATATTATTCATGTGGTTCCATTTTTTCTCTCAAACTGCTTCACTAGTAACATTGTATCCTAAAAACGGCATGCCTTAATATTTAAAGATTTGTTGTGTTCATGTTTGGGTCCACGCCCATTTGTTGTATTTACATGTATGGTTCATACAAAATTGTCGAATGACTTTCATTTCTTTTAATTTGCGGAAATGATTCAAAAGTTTTTTTTTTTGTCTATGATTATGGAATGAATTGCCTATAAATTCCTTCGGATCTGGAGCTGCCTATAGGCAAGAAATTTGTTGAGGTTGATCTTAGCCCTAGATTCATTAGTTAAATTTCTTGCAAACATTTAGGAAAGCCAATTAACTAAAATAATTTTCTGTACGATCTATCATGCTAGTTTGTCCTCATACTGTCAAGCAATCGATTCTTCGGAAGTGAAACCAGCTGCAAAAAGAATTAGGCGAGCTCATCTCCTCTTGTTAGTTTGCATGCAAATCTCAATGTTATTTTCTAAAAAGATTAAAAAAAAAAAAAGATGCAGCCTTTTTCTGCTTTATAAATGTGAGGCCTTGATATGTCACGAATATACCAGGCGATCCTTCCAAAATTGCAGTTTAATTGGTAAACTAGATTGTTTGAGATTGCTTTAGATATATTTCCTGATAATGAGAAATTATACGAACTTCTCAGATAATACTGATGTTTACATTGTTCTAGAATAATTTGGTTTCATATTTGTACTGGCTGTAGAATGCATCTGAATTCTGGGAACACCAACCAGCAGCTGCACGAGAATATGCAGCAAGGACAATCATTCCAGCATGCACTGCTGTGGTTGATATTTCATCAAGCGCAAAGGATCTGATAGAGAAAGAGCTGTCTGCCTTCCATCAGAGCCTGGATAATAGATTATATATGCTGCCATCAACACCTCAGGTTAATAATTCCCATCAGTTTTTTATTTAAGTTTGTAGCAGCCAAATCATGTCAACAAAATCAAAAGTTAATTTTGTTTCATATAAAATGCAGCGCAAGATAGGCTTAGAAGTTAGAACTCATTTATTGATGCTAGCACTTGTTTAAGCACCTGGGTTTTGTCTTATTCCCTCAAATGAATGAGCATTCCATCTGATATGGAGGATCTTGTTAGACCACTCCAATTTGAATTAGGGGATTCAATTAAATATTACTTTGGGAGGGAACAACTCAATTAAATATTGCTTTGGGAGGGACTCAATTAAATAATGCTTTGGGAGGGAACAACTTAATTAAGTATTGCATTGGGAGGGAACAACTCAATTAAATATTACTTTGGGAGGGAAAATTTGAATTACGGGTTGTTTAGGGATTTTATAATCTTCTTTGCTTTAAATAGTTCCTTTTGTAAGGGTTAGGATTTCATCTTGAATTTGGGCTAAATTTGAGATCTCTTAGGTTTAGGTTGTTTTTGGGCTCTAGCAGCGTCTAGAGATTTGGGAGAGATCGATCATCCTCTTGAATAGAGGATCAATTGTATCTTGCTATTTTTCGTTTCCCTTTCATCAAATAATACAAATTATCTACTGTTCTTGTGGTTTTGTGTGGATTTGTGTTGAGAAATCTCGCTGTTTTCCGAAGATTGATAGTAAAAACTTGAGATCTACAAATGTTTCCTATCAGATCTCCCCGTGTTTAATGTTCTTCTCTGTAATCTTTAATTTTATTTATGACATTTATTTTTGTCTAATTGCATTATGCTTATGCATATTGGCCATGGGATCTTAACGATGTTGTTTTTTACATGGGCAGGCCCTAGTCGAGTCTCTTGGTGCTACTGGAGCTATGGGTCCTGAAGCCCTTGCTGCCGCAGAAAAAAATGCATCCTTATTAACAGCAAGAGCTGGTGCTGGAGACCCATCTGCTGTGCCATCGATTTGCCGTATTTCTGCTGCCCTTCAGTATTATTGCGGTAAGCTCTGATTAGCTGTGATGTAGCCTACAAACCAATTGCATCATATGATCATCTTGTCTTGATTAAGAGTGGACTGACATAGCGCACTCATTGAGGAAGTTTGGATTCACAATAAGCTTTGAAAAACAAAAAACTAATCAACAAATAAAAGAGTTTGCTCTGGTTTTTTTCTTTGGGGCAATTATTACTGTTGCTGAAATCACTCTTTCCTTGTCCAAGTTCAATTCAGTTCATAATTAAGATGAGGCTAAAAAACAATTCTCGTAAGCAAAGATTTACAACATAGCTTTATTCAGAGATAACATTTTACTTAAAGGTTTTTAGTTTTATTTTTGTTGAACTAATAGTTTGTATTTAGATTTAAACGAGAATATTAGGAATGATCTAAAAAGGCTTTGTTAGAAAATATTAGGAATGACCTTTCTTTATTAGATTTAAAACGAGAATTTGACTTTTAATAGGACACAATGGAGAAAAAGGATTCATGTAGCCGACCCCATGTAGTGGGATAAAGGCTTGATGTTGTTGTTGTTGTTGTTGTTATTATGAACTAATAGTTTGTATTTGTTGCTAGAAGGAACAGATGATGGCCTAACATCTGTCTTGGAAGCATTGAACTTTTGCATAAAACCCTGGGATTCTGAGGCTAGCATATTAGAAAATTTGTCAAAGACTATCAATCTATTTCATACACAACGAGATCTTGTTGACAATGGCCGAGCTTTGTTAAGCCGTGCTCATCGTGTTCAACAAGAATATGAAAGGTAGAACTTTGTTTTTTTTTTTAAGCCAAGTTTGGATGCAATCATAGAAGGGAAAATTTGTTCCCTATATTTTATTATTTGTTAATATTGAAGCTTAATTACCCTGCTTCTAAACGGCATCTAGTTCTAGGTACATGCTTATAAAATTCTTCTATGGTATTTTTCCATTAAACACATTTATGTGCTTTTAATGTATTCATTATATTTTATTTTCACAAACTTAAAAAATACAACTGGAGGTTAAAGCTTCGATTTTGTTGAACCATTAAACCATAGCATTACAGATGGTTCAAACCTCCAAAACTGATATTTAAAACCTTGCTTCAGAAGTATTAGTTATTGTTATGTGTTACTGTGTTTATCAAAGAAAAGAAAACATTTCTATGCTTGTTGAATGTAGTCATTATCAGATAATTTTTATTACTTTAATACTCCATGCTTGCTCTATAAAGTACGCCTTTTGGTGTATTTGATTAAAAAATTTCAAATTTTTGCTGTCCCGTTAGACCATCTTTAGTGAATTCTTCTCTTGTTTTCATGAATTTTTTTTATTCAATAGATCAAAAGACATCATATATCAAAGAACTTGAAGATACTGATTTATCCTTGTAATTTGTAGGATGGGCAATCATTGTCTAAAGTTAGCTGCGGAGCAAGAGAAACTTGTCACCGAAAAATGGCTACCTGAGCTCCGAAATGCTATTGTGGATGCTCAAAGATGTTTGGAAGATTGCCAGCGCGTCAGGGGTTTGGTAATATTTGTTAAACACATTGACATACATTTCATAAATTATTATGTATTTATATATCTAATTCTCAAATCTTTATATTTACTTATATAACAAATTAGTATCTAAATTATATCAAAGCATTTATATGAAGAAGTGATTTCACTTCAAGTATATCAATGATAGTGATATTTTTGATGTGATTTAGATAGAAGAATATCATAGTAAATATGAATGTTTAGATATGTAAATATATAAAAATTTTAGTATGTATCTAAGTCCTTTACTTTTTCAATACTTGCTCTCTCTCTCTTGCTCCTCTCTCTCTCTTGCTCCCCCTCTCTCTCTCTCTCTCTCTCTCTCTAAAAAAAGTTCTGTTTGTGTATCATGGGTATAAATAGATTGTGGCAATTGACAGGTTGATGAGTGGTGGGAGCAGCCGGCGGCAACCGTTGTGGACTGGGTAACTGTTGACGGGCAGAATGTTAGCACTTGGCTCAACCATGTAAAGAAGCTCCAGATGGCTTTTTATGACAAGGAACTCCTTTAAGTTAGTTTCCTAAACCCTAAACCTCTTGTGATCATATTCATTGAAAATTAATTTGCGTATATTATATTTGCTGTAGCTTGTATTGTATTTTGGTTGAAAATCATAGCACTACTGCATTCATCTCAAAGTAAATTCAATAATTAAAAATCTCCTTTTGATCAAATTTGAATCAGGATATCTTCACCCAATTTTTTTTGATGCTTGGCATCAAAATGTATTTGATTTTGAGTTTTAACTACTCTGAATATAAGCTGCCTCGAAAATGTTCTTGGGCTTCGTTTGGGACAACTTTCTTATTGTTTTCTAAAACAATTTTCTAGTTAAAAAATTTCAAATTCATTAAATTTTTATATTAAAATGTTACTTTATAAAACAGTGAGAAAGCTGTCTCAAACAAAGAACAAAACCTTTGTTAATTTTGAGTTGATTTAGCTGGCAGGTTTTCAGATGTGGATTGTATTTGTGAATGATACAGAAAATATGTATTGACAGTATGAGTTCTGTAAAGCTGTTGTGAAGGTTGTTAATGGTTGGTTTACTCAATAGGTACTGTTTTAAGGGTGTAGATGGCATAAAGCTTAGTCAAATTTTATCAGCTGAAAAATTAAAATTTGTTTGATTAGCTGACCCCCATCTAGTGGGGGAATTATTCTGTGCGGTCATCGGACTGTCCGGAGGCGAATCATGATGCATCACGTCACCCAGTTAACAGCAAAAAGGTGATGTGGCGCATCCTGATTGGCCTTTGGACTGTTGGTGTCCGCACATAAATATGTTTCACTGTTGATTTATGAATGTTTGATAGTTGCATTCTCTTTTGCATTTTGCATGAATCAATGTGAAGTTGAAATGAAAAGGATTAGAAGATTATTACTTTTATAATAATCAAGTGATGATTATTAAAAATAATATTTTTTATAATAAAAAAACGCTTTTATTGATTTACCAAAGCGAGTTTATATAAAATAATAATTTCATCCAATTCCATATTGTAAGAGTAATTCCCAAGTTTTCTAAATTCAATAAAAAAAAACACACACACACAACATGGTTAATTAATTAAGGGGATTAAAGCTTGGTTAATTATAAGGAAGGAGGGTTATATTTTGCTTAAGAGCTTTACTAAGACTTACAAGTCTTGGTCTAGGTCAATATTAATCCAATTTAAATATGTTTTAATTACCATTAAGTCTCTAGTCAAGTCATAATTAACTTGATTTGGGTTGGTTAATTTCTTCTCAAGCAATGGTTCGGTATTGACCAAATCCTCATTAAGCTCTCCTTGGTTTAATTATGGATTTACTAATCTGTAATTAAATGCTTACTATTTCTTAGCTTCTGATTAATTTGTGATAGGCTTGATTTAGGATCAGGGTTGACATAGAGTTTTTCTTGACTAAGACTTCTTTTGGGATAGTTTTCTTACTGCTTTTTAAAGCAGCTTTAATTTTTTATTATAAAGCTGCTCTAAGAAGCAGTAAAAAAAGTCGTCCCAAACGAAGCTTAAGTCATGATCAACTTATTTAAGCTGTTGCTAAGCCTGAATTTCATTTAAATTTTATTTTTAATGCCAACAAAATTACCCTTTCAACTTTAATCTTGTTTCATATCTACATTCAATTTTTTTGTCCATATAATATTTGCTCAAATATAAAATTTATATGACAATTAATGCTTTGACTCTTTATTTTATTTGTTTTCTCAATCTAATTATTTATCTTATCTTCTCAATCTGATCTAAGAGATTATATGATTTTGAATGGATCATTCTGATCTGATTCGCCACATAGAGCGATGAGTAGGATAGATGATGATTATATTAATGATTTGGGTAAGAATGAATATCTTTTCATAAAAATTAACAAAATAAAAATATATAAGAAGTATATAATAGATCACCGGGTTATTTTCATAATTTTTTACTATTGCTTATTTTAATAACAACTGATTATAAATATAAAACTTTTTGAATTTGCTGGTAATAATAAAAATAAAGAGACCTTAAAAATATGATTAGTTATATATATAATATTTTTTAAAAATTTATCATTGGGAAGGGGGAATCCGCCTGCTGCTACCAAGAAAGGGCGCTTGACGGCATGGCTAGCCATCGACAGACCTAGAAGAGGCACTCACCCAGACACTTGATTGACGCACATTTGATTTGGCCCACTTAAGAGGCGCTATCGTTCGAGACGAATCGAGTATGGGTTGGGTGTTCTCAACTGTACTCACTTCGTTCCAAAAAAAAATCATTTTCTTTGAACTATGAGTTGAAGAACATAATATTAATTATTTTATAAATAATGGATAAAAACATAGGGGAATTAATCTTGAGATATTCCCAAGAATATTTTTCATATTCATTATATTATCTCATATGATTATATGATTAGTTTGTAAATATTAAATTTCATTTGATTTTTTCTATTATTTGAACCCTAATAAAAAAATCATTGAATCAATGCTTGTTATTCGAGTAATATTACTCTATCCAATAATGTGGGTGACAAACATTAAAGCATATTGAACGGCTCTGATTCATGTTTCATATATTTTTCTCAGCACAACAAGTGCATTGGATTTTTTACCTAGGTTGACAATTTCAAAGCCTTGAGGCTTATTTTATAATTTTTAAATTTCAGGATAAGACCAAAAAATATATTGAAAATCATTAATTATTTTATGGAGTTGAATTTCTTAAAGGTCTCAATCAATAAATAATAATAATATATATTTTTTATTTTTATTAATTACTTGATACACTGGAAACTTTAGTTAAAACCTTACTGCATATATAGCTTTGATCAATTCTTCCATCTATAATTTTCATATAAAATAATATTAATTTTCATCACAAAAGAAAAAAATAATGCTTAAATTATATTAAATATTGCAACAATTCAGGCAATAAACTGCATGATACAATCTCTATCTTGATTTTATGTAATTATGAGATCTTTTATAATATATTTGATTTTTTTTTTGCTTCTTGTTGTCCTCATTTCTTAATTTTATAGCAAGAATTCTAAATGAAATTATTTGTAAATTCGGCTTATTATTTGTAAAAGAATGTTTGTCTTTTATAAAAAATATTTAGGGTACCACACTTGTTTTCATTAGGTTCTTCAACTGTCGCAGTTAGTTATTGGAAATAGCAGTTTTCGAATGGCAGTATGTTGCATATTTTGAAAGGTTTCAGTAAAATCATAAATTTTGATTATATATATTGTTGGGGGCTAGAATATATGTGATGGTAGAGTTAGATTTTTTTTTTTGTCTTAGTTATCTACGGATATCTAGCATACAAACAGAAGAAAAAGAAATTAGAATTTTTACGTGGAAACTCAGGAAAAAGGAAAAATCACGGGGCCACAGACAGTTGAAATGATTTCAATAGTGTTTGAGTAAATCACAATAGTCTAATTCGTCCTTGAAATTGAGGATGATTATATTATAATAATCAACCATCATGTTGAAATCTGAAGGTCGGACGGAAGTCCAGAGTCAATTTGTGACCGGGCAGAAATTCGGCATCAATTTGTAGTCGGGTGGAAGTCCGGTGGCCGGATGGAAATCCGGTGTCAATCGGCAGTTGGGCGGCAGTCCGACATCAATTGATGGCTCGGTTGAAGTCCGGCAATGGCCGAGGAGGTTGGTGGCAAGAGAACTCAAGTTTCCATTCTTCCTTATCTTCCTTGTTTGGGTCTCATTCTATGAGAAATGAGTGGTCTATTTATAGTTTTGTAAAATTGACATGACCAGTAAATAGGAGGGAGATCAAGGGTAAGTTGAGTGTGGTTTGAATGGATGAACGATGTTGCTCCCCTTGATCATGAACCGTTTACTAGGCACTTGAATATCTTAATGATTTTAGAATTTGGTGATCTTGGCCTCGTTGGATTTGTCTCGTCGAGTCACTCAATTCGACTATAAGCATGTCATGTTTGGAAACCGTTTGTTTTTTATCTTTTCAGGTGTGGAGCACAAATTCTGTATCTTTTCATCCTGATAGGGAGCAGTGCGGTTTGAAGTTACGTAAGTGGTGGAGGTTTGTTTTAGATTTTTGCAGGAGTTGTATTTCTACTGCTTTTATTTCTCAACTCCTTTTTTGGGTGCTGATATCTTACAGCTCTAGCATGTTATTAGGTTTTTATGTAATTGTTAGTATTAGGAACCACCGGCTTTTAGATTTTTTTAATGATTTTTTTGTAGCTCTTTTGTGCTTTAGGAAGCGGGAGGTTCCTATTAAGAACCTTGTAACTTTTTTTTGATATTAACGCATAGTCCCCTCTGTGGCATGGGTTTTAACCAAAATAAAAAAAAGTTTGAAAACCGTTTGCTAATCCAAATTATAGTTTGAACTTTCACAATGTGCTTCGGGTCTTTTGGCTCATATTGAGTCAAATTTGGAGTCGTTAGGTTCGTATTTTTGATAGGTTCGATTCGACTATATGTTTGTTGAAATCGGAGTTCAAATGATCTCAAATTTAATTCTAAAAGTTTCTAACTTGATTTTGCCTCGTGATTCGTGCCCCATCAAGATAATTTTTTATGTGTATTAGTGTGTGTAGAGAGAGAGAGAGAGAGAGAGAGAGAGAGAGAGAGAAGGGGCCGTGGTAGCTGGCCAGAGATTGAAATGAAGGCACATATATAGGAAGAAGGGTCGACAACAAATATGTCGGATTTTTCGGTAACGAACAAATAAGTTTTCGGAAATGGTCAAATAGGATTTTAATATTTTATTTCCTAATGAATATCCAGAATTATAAAACACTTCGCAGTGTATGGATTATCAAATTTTAAGTTAAAATAAGCCAATTAATTAAAAAAATATCCTCTTATTCAGTTAAATAATTAAATATAAAAAACAATTTAATTAATGTTAATTTAATTTTTTCCCTGTCTAACCACATTAATTTTGTTCAGGAACCATTTAATCATCCTTTTATTATTATTAATTTTTGAACATTTAGGCTATTTAAGACAAATTCACACACAACGGATACACAAAGACTCGAACTGAAGACCTCTTAGTTGAAAGCTTAAGCTCTCAATCAACAGACAAAAATGAGTAATGTTCCTTTTTATTATCTATTTATTTGTTTGAAACAATTTATTAAATAGAACGATTACTATCAACCAATTA